TGTGTGGAAATAAAGGATGTTGTTTGTGGATGAGTGTGGAAGCAGGTGATCGAAGCAATGAAAGAAATAAAGAAAGAAACCAAGGACAGGGGTGAGCAGCATAAATCCAAGAGGGAGGAAAGAGAGAAAAAAACCCGAGAAGAATAAAAAACCCAAAAAACACCGAAAACATTCCAATTAAACCGTTGACGGAGAGTGACGGTGTTAATTCTGCTATCATATCACACGTAGGATGCAATTTGATACTGGTAAGTTAAACAGATGTTAATGTTAAGTTAATGCAAGTTAGTGTGAGTGGATAGGGAAAGGGTGTAGCGGATTCTTATCTGGTGTGAGGTTAATACAGCCACGGAGTGATGTTGGGATCGCGGTGCAGCTGTCCGTCCACGTACAGCCGGTCCACAGCGATGACAGCGCGGGAGCCCTTCTGGATGAAGCCGCGTCGGATTGGGAAGAGGACCCTGTGTCGTTCCAAGATCTCTTTGGGGAACTGGTCATTCACGCTGAAGTCCGTTCCTTTTAATTCCCTGCCGCAGTTTTTCACATGTTGCTTTTGTTTGAAGTGGCGAATTTGGCCACAATAGGACATGGTCTCCCGGTCGCAGCCCGCATGGCGATGTACCCTATCGAAGACAATGTTCTTCACCGTGTCCTCCGGCAGCTTTCATTTCATTTCATTTTCATTTATTTATTTATTTCACACTTGGTACAACAATTCAAACAAACCAACCACACTTTCTATCAATAAAGCACTACAACCATGTGTGAAAAGGAGCAGGAAGAAGAAAATATTCTTATTAAACCCTGCCCCTATCTACAATCCAATTTATATTACAAGTGGGCACCAAAAATCAGGGAACAAACTAACATTAACATTTATCTCCAGTCCTAACCCAAACTAAACAACAAATTTACAATCAGAATATACCACTCCACATAGTAACACGGAGAAAAATAAAATAAAAAAAAAAAAAAAAGTATAATGGATCCTTTTTCAATGAACTCCAATTTCATTCGCATTCTTCATATTGAGTTATCGTTTTAAGCATGTAACGCTTTTTAAAACAATGTAAACTTATACAATTCTTTAAATTATAATGAAGAGAGTTCCACAGTCGTATACCCCTAACCGTTGGACTCATTAATCTTTGTGTTGTCCTAGCTAACTGATGCTTAAAATAAAATTTCCTTCTGCTATCTTCTCCCCCTGAACACAATAAAAATACTCTTTGTAACTTAAAGGGCAAAATATTATTTTTAGCCTTAAACATAATTAATAGTGTCCGTAATTTCACAAAATCTCCTAATTTTAATAATTTCGATTTTTATAAATAATTTATTTGTATGTTCTCTATATTTAACATTATGAATCATTCGTATCACTTTCTTCTGTAATAAGTTTAGAGGTTTTATAGTATTCTCATATGTATTCCCCCAAACTTCAACACAGTAACTAAAATATGAGAAAAACAATGAAAAATATAAAATACACATTGTTTTATAATCTAATAAATCTCTTACATTTCCCAAAATACAAATGTTTTTAACCATCTTCTTTCTAATATACTCAATATTAGATTTCCAAATTTTCATCTACTATTACACCCAAAAAACGAAATTCAGTAACTCTTTCAATCAATTCTCCATCAATGGACATAATGACTTCATCCTCCTTTACACGATTGCCAAATATCATGAATTTCGTTTTTGTCAGATTCAAAGATAATTTATTTACATCAAACTATATTTTTAATCTTAACATCTCAGAAGTCATAATTTCAACCAAATCTTTCAAATTCTCTCCAGAGCAATACAAATTTGTGTCATCTGTAAATAAAATAGAATTTAACCTTTTTGATACGTCACAGATATCATATATATATAAATTGAAAAGTTTAGGTCCCAAAATAGAACCTTGAGGAACGCCACATACAATCTTCAATCTTTCAGAAGTATTGCCGAGATAATGTACATATTGCAACCTATTTTCTAAATAACTCCTTAACCAATTCAATGGGTTGCAGATGAAATATCGTCAATGAAAGTCAACAATGCTAATGCCGTTGATCTATTTTTACGAAATCCAAATTGATTTTCATTTATTAGTTGATATTTTTCAATAAAACTATCAAGTCTTTGCGCAAAAAGTTTTTCGAGCACTTTTGAAAACTGTGACAAAGAGACACTGGCCTATAGTTGTTAAAACTATGCTTATCTCCTGATTTATATAAGGGTATCACTTTTGCCACTTTCATTCGATCAGGAAATACTGATTGTAACGAAAGATTAAAAATATAGCAAAGAGGAATACTTATACAATCTAAAGTATTTTTAATTATAACCATGTCTATACCATCACAGTCAGTAGATATTTTTTATTTTTAAAGTTTTCTACAATTGCTACTATTTCTTTTATGGTAATATCAGCCAAGAATGTGGAATTAACCACTCTACTTTCTGCTTTCCAGGCTTCGTAATTTTTCCTAATTAAATTTGCCAAAGTAGGTCCAACATTTGCAAAAAAGGAATTGAATTAATTTGCTACATCAGTCTTGTTATCGACAACTTGATTATTCTTAATGAAATAATTAGGCCGATCTAAGGGTGTGTTCTTGTTACCCAATACCTCTTTAAAAATATTCCAAATGCCCTTAATATTATTCTTGTTTTCCTGAAAAAGTTTATTATAGTAGTCTTTCTTGGCTTTCCTCAATATTAATACCAACTTATTTTTATAAACTTTGTATTTCATTTCCGCATTCTTAGTTCTCTGTGTTATATAATCCCTATATAAATTTTTTTTCTTTTTACACGCATTTGCAAGACCCTTAGTTATCCAAGGTTTCATATTCTTATTCTTATACTTAAATGATACCAATGGACAATGTTTATCATACAAGGCCAAGTAAGTATTTAAAAAAGCTCCGTATGCAACGTTGATCTCATTAACATAAACCTCCTTCCAGTCCACTTCCATGAGATCTTGTCTAAACTTGTTAATTGCCTCGTTATTTCTTAACCTTCTATAACTCACGAAACCAACCTCTTCCTTTCTTTTCATATTTAAATCAAGAGTAAAAAAGATGGTAGATGATCGCTTATATCATTCATGATGAGGCCACTCATAATATTACTCTCCAAACTATTAATGAAAATATGATCAATTAGTGTTTCTGATTTATCTGTTATTCTACTCGGCTTTATAATTAAAGGATAAAATCCTTTTCCAAGTAATAATTCAAAAGAATCTGACGCAGCCTTATCATTTGCCTCTTTACAAAGATCAATATTGTAATCACCACACAAACATAAAGACTTATTTCCCTTAGCCTTACTCAATAAGTCTTCTACTGCCTCTGTAAATAACTCAATCTGTGACCCCGGTTTCCTATATATGCACGTTACAATTACTTCTTCTTTCTATGTCCAACTCCACTGTCACAGACTCCATTACATCGTCTATAGCCACAGACATATATTCAACTTTTTTACATTTCAAATCACAATTAACAAAAAGTGCCGTCCCTCCTGCCTTCTTCTTAGTTCTGTTTACAAAGTATAAATCGTACCCTTCCATACAGAAACCCCCTCTTCTCATCTAACCATGTTTCAGACGGAGCAATTATTTGAAACCTGCCTCTCAAACTATACAGAAAATCTTTAATCGAAGCAAAACTTCTATAAAGACTTCTGCAATTAATATGAATTAATGAAAATGTATTAACTATTTCAACTGTATCCCTGAATTGCTCCTCTGTATAATATTCACATGTGACATTAATTGTATTAAGCACATTGCTTTCAGGGTCAATACCTACTTCAATATCATATGATTTATTATCTGAGTCGTCGAGCATTATGCATAATTATTCTAAAACTATTAACCTCAAAAAAAGAAAGGGATCCTTAGCAATCGCACATTCATTTATCGACATATTTTAAAGTCCGTTGATCTTGTTTTCTTCCATGTCCAATTTACAATTTCCTTTTGTCCTTTTCCACCCGAAGTAGCATCTGTTCTTGTAAAGGATGACCTAATTGTTTTTAGGCTCATAGCCACGATTGACTAGCTTCAGGTGGGTTTTGATGAAGCTTTTTACCGTGGTCTCCGCGTCCTCTCCAGCGGCTTCTGGAATACCAGAAAATACCAGATTATCACGCATGCTCCGAGCTTGTAGATCAATAACTGTTTCTTTTCTTTTCTCTATTGAGCTGGGTAACATTTTCTGTGAGACATTTCACCGACTCCCTTAGCGTGGCATTTTCAGCTGCAAGCGTTTCCACCTGCTGCTGGCTGAACTGAGGGATTCTCGCAAGCATTTAAATTCCCGGTGAAGAATCTCCACCAAGGACAGCCTTGCATTGAAACTGGACATCGTTGGTCGATTGACTCCAGCATGTCAACAATATCTTTGCCGGCTGGCGATGTTGTGGGGAATCTGCCGGACGAAGTCTTTTCGACGACGGCGTCTCAGGTTTGGCCGGGGAAGCTGCACACTGGGCCTTCTTCATCACGAGATCCTGGAAGCACTGATCAATATAATGGAGAGTCTCTAAACTCTCCTCGTTGTTCTCCAGGGTGTTGGAGATGATTTGGACAAATGTTGTTAGTTATAAGACAATTGATAAGTGTATTTGGTAATGCTGAAGCTTAAAGGAATTTGTTCAAATCTAAACTACCATTCGCTTTAATTTTCTGCCAAAATCTCCAGCGTCTGACGTCAGTTACAACACGAGTCGCTTACCTTGTCCGTCACTTACCTCCTTACGATGAAGGAGAAGGAACCGCAGCCACTTATTTCTGCATGTATGTTGAACTTCTGTCAGAGGTGAAGATGTTTAGCTGATGGTTGGAACAGAGATTTCTCTGTAGAGCGACTGATTCGTCTGAAGAATCACTGAAATGTTTTCTTTTGTTCTTCCAGTGAAACTGGACCAAACATCCAGAGACTTGAAGTCCAGATTTAACTGATTTCATGTTGTCTCTGATTTTATGGCAGATAAACTGATTCTGATCAGGGAAAACCAAACCTGGGAGGAAGCCTTGAATTACTGCAGACAGACACATCATGACCTGGTTTCAATCAGCAACCCTGAGGAGCAGCGATGGGTCCAGGAAAGAGCCAAAAAAGCCTCGACTCCTTTCATGTGGCTGGGACTGCAGTACTCCTGCACTCTGGGTTTATGGTTCTGGGTCAATGACAACCTAGTGTGCTATGAGAGGTGGGCTTCAGGGGGAAGGACTGAAGACTGTGGCATGTCTGCAGCCATGACCACAGGAGGGCAGCACGAGTGGGTCAGTCAGAGGAAAAATGAGACATTTAATTTTATTTGTATAAAACACTAAAGTTTAAACCTAAAGTCACTTCTTAGCTGCACATGTAGATTTTCTGGGGTGAACTCTGTGTTTGTGCTCAGTGTTTACAGTCTCTGGGTTTGAAAATGACCAACAGATTTTTACCTGCAGCTTAGACATTTGCAGAGAGCAGTCTATGTTTCATGTCCTCTCCTTTACCAGAGTCAGGAGCATCTTGGTTTCTTCCTTCATTGTTGCTGGATTGGTTGATTATTAAACTGTAGCAGGATGTTTGTTGTATTTAGTTCAGATAAGGTGATGGTTTTAATGTTTCTGCTTCATGTGCTGTAAATCTTTGTATCGCACCATTGTATCCTCAGCTTGAATTACAAAGCCTGTCACTAAAAGCAGGTAAAACCATGTTTGTGTCATGACTCCATATGAGCTCCATAATCTGATCATGTGTTCATCAAGACAAATAAACCTTCATTTAACCAAGTCTGTCACTGTTACAGCTTTCACAGGAACAAATACAAACAGCGCCACCTAAAGGTAAAACCAGGAAACTAACATGTAGCTCCATGACATTTCCACAAATGAAGATATGCAATGAAATGAGGACTGTGTGAACCAATCAGTGATCAGAGCTGCCGCCAGTTATGTTAACAGTTTTTTACCATTTTGGTAAAATGTTTTTGTCAAAGTCTTGATTAAATATAATGATGTTGTCAGGCTACTCTGCAGCTCCTCTCTCCTTTGTTAAGTAACTTATTCTGGACAAAGCAGCAGGACAGATCTCTCCCCATCTCTGTGCGACCTCTGTAAACCTGGTCCTGTTTATCTCGCTGATTTTTTCCACTCTCATTCACGTGGTCAGCTTCAGTCAGTCTCCAATCCACTATGACGTCCTGACAAATATCAGATTTGGTTATAAGTGGCAGCATGTCAGACTCCTCCCTCTCTGTCTCCTCCACCATCTGAACCTCAGGAACTGAGAGGAGAACACGAGACAGACAGATGTCAGTGATGGTGATCCTCCATCATCTACAGCCACTGTTGTTCGGTCATTTCCTGTTTTATTTTGATAGTTCTACTCTGAGTTCCCTGATCTTCACTCCTGTTTTCAGTCACTGTGGACAAACAGCTGTTACACTCACCTCTGACTCTGAGAGTCACTGATTTCTGTAGCAGCATGTGTCCATCCTTGTTGTAGACGGTGCAGGTGTAGACTTTACTGTCAATGAGGTGGAGGTCTTTCAGGGTCAGACTGAGGTCTTTAGTGTTCAGTGGGTCTTTGTTCATCTCAGTGCGCCCTTGTATGTCAGGCTGACTCTGTCCTCTCTGATACGTGTGGACCGTCACATTTTCATGTCTCCACAGGCAGGTTGTCTTTGATCTGAAGGGCAGAAGGACAGACTTTTCCCCCCGGGTCACCTCCACCATCTCCACCTGCAGAACTGACAACAGAACATGAAACAGACAGACATCAGTGAGGTGGATCCTCCATCATGTCCTCTGCTGTGTAACCAGCAGCTCCTGTTTTCAGTGTTTCTCTGACTTGGAGCTGAACTGATGTGTGTTGATGTGTGAGGCTGCACAAACAGCTGTGCAGCTTTTATTCTCACTCAGCTGGAAACAGCTGGACCCACACACAGGTTTACACATCTGGGATTCAGAATATTTTTCTCACCTGTGATATTTAGTAACAGTACTTTGTGTAGCAGGATGTATCCACCCTTGTAGACGGTGCAGGTGTAGCCACCATGGCCACTAATTTGAAGGTCTTTCAGCTTCAGACTGAAGTCTTTAGTTCTCAGAGGATCTTCATTCATCTCTGTGGTCTCTGTGATCTTGGTCCTGTAAGCGATGCTGGTGTTCATTGTTCTGATACACATGGACCGTCATGTTTTGGTGTTTCCACTCCACTTTGACGTCCTGAGGAACATCATCTTTGTTTTTTCCTTTGTTTGTTTTCTGTTTTCAGGGTCAGACTGAGGTCTCTGCTTCTCGTGGGTCTTTTCTGTATTTCTGCTCCTTTAACACAGCTGTTCTAACACCTCAGATACACCTGGACCAAATCTCCTCAGGTGAGTAAAGGATGCCTTTAAATGCTGTGAGCTGAAGAAACATTCTGAGCTCTTGTCTTGATGCTTGATGCTCAATCATGCAGATGAGTAAATCCCAAAAAGTGGATTCTGTTCATCTGGAGCGTTTTCAGTGGGAGGAACATTTCTTCACTCTGATGAAATGACAAAATGTTTCTTCCACTGAAAATGTTACGTCCAGATGAACAGAATCCAGCTTTTGGGATTCTGAGATCTTCATTAACCAAAGGATCCTCCTATCAGAGCTCTGCTCTATCTATATTTCAGGGAGTACAGGATTTCCTTCCCATCTTTCAAAATGGGGAAAAATGCTGTGCTTTCTTAGGCACAGGCCATGTTTTCAGGTAACTTAGCCTTGCCAAACATCCAGGGATTTTATAGGAAAGGACACTAAGGAAGAAATCTCTACAACCAGATCGAGCCAATACTGTAGCCAATTCCCTGCATTGCTATTAGGCATGCAATGTAGAGAACTGGCTGGAAAGACAGCTATAGGATTTACTGCAGGTTAGTGTGGTGAAAGATAGAGATGTACAATGAGGCAAAAAGTATTTATTCAGCCAACAATTGTGCAAGTTCTCCCATTTAAAAGATGAGAGAGGCCTGTAATTTTCATCATAGGCTGGGAAGACTGAATCTGCAATAGGTAAGCAGCTTGGTGTGAAGAAATCAGCTGTGGGAGCAATTATTAGAAAATGGAAGACATACAACATCAAACATTGTCTCCTGTAGCTGGTATAGTTGAGATGATTACAATGTTTAACTTGGGTTATATGCATTTATGTTGTCTTGGAGTTACAAGAAAACTCGTGAACATGTGGATGAAGGTACCTGCAGCTAGGCTGTCCAGCCAGACTGTCGGGGAACTTTCAGTAAGGTTGAAAGAACTGGGAACTTACACACCAGTCGAGTTTAACCACAGGCCAAGGGAGTAATCAGAGTAATCAGAAACTGATAGATGGAAAACAACAGAGCTTCAGTACTTTATGTTGTGTGCAGGGCCTGTGCTTAGGAATAGCATACCAGGAGAGCTCTATGATAACTTTGTTTTCTGTTGCAGTGCATCTGCTGTTTAAATCTAAATCCTCCACCTGTCACCTTGACCCTCTGTTATGACCCTCTGAGGCTGAAGCATCATTGACGTGCATGATCCACAAGCTTCAACTAGGATGTATAAATGTGTGCAGTGATGTGTGTGAAGCCTTTGAGGACTCACTGTGTTATTAGCTGTTAGTGAAACGCAGCTTCAGACGTTCAGTTATACGAAGCTGTGAAGGGCTGTCAGCAGGTGATGGCTCAGGTCACAGCCCACCTGTGTGATGTCACTGAACACCTGTGTACGAGCGCTGCTTCAGCCTCTGCAGTCGTGATGTGTTTATAGGACATCAGACAATCCTGCGTCCATGGACAGAAGTCAAACAGTCTTTAGTCTTGGTCACAGGTCCTCTGATGTTCACACAGTCTGAGGAAACTTTGTGTTAACATGTTTCTGTTCTTATAAAAACAGCTGATGGTTTTACAGAAACATGATGCAAACATGAGAATGAACAAATGATTTTTATTAACAGACACTGTTTATTTTTCACTTTGCATGACGTCATCAACACTGTGACACCAGGGGGCGCTCATCACCAGCTGAAGAAGTGTGCAGTGATAATGGGGGGAGTATTGTGTGTACTAGAGCTGTACTGTGGGTACTGCAGTAATGACACCTGGAGAAACTTTCTGTTTTTCCACATAATCTATGATTATTGTTCCCACGGCGACACACACAGCATCATGACCTGAACAACATGATCCCTGATCTGATGTTATAATCCTGTATTTTACACGTGTGTCAGTTTTGGCCGGCGGTCATGTGTCCCTTCCAATAATACGACGCGAGACTGGAATAAAATCCATGGACTGGAAAACTTTATGAAAGAAGACACATGTTAACACAGCACAACACCAACTAACAGCAAAACGCCTTCACTTTTACTCTAAAAACTAAACTAATAAAAATACAGACGAGGTAATGGACCCCTCCTCTGCAGCAACCTTGGTGGGAGCCATGGCAGACATGCTTCCACGTCTCAGGAGGAGGAGGGCACCAAACTCTGAGGTCAAAGGGGAGCTGAGGTATGAATAAGTTATTGGCCATGTTTGCAGAGCCCTTTTAAAAATATGCTAGCCAAAATAAGCAGTTTGTATCCAACATAACTCAGCTGGACTCTGATGCTCCGTATAACAGCCACACATGAGTCTGGATTCACTCAAAGCATTGAACAAACTTTATTGGAAATGAAGCTTTTGGACATTTGTTCTCTGATATTTGCTCTTCAGCTCGAGTCTCCATCAGTGGGAACATTTCCTGATTCAACTTTTCTTCTGTTCAAATCAAACTCCATGAGAATCAAAGTGTGAATCAGAGTCCTGATGATCAGATTCTATAGAAACATGGAGACTGTAGAGGATTTACACTCAATATGTTCATTTGTTCCCTTCAAGAAAAATCAATCATTCATCCAATTAAATCAGTCGTTGATCAGTTTGATTGACAGGACAGATGATCAGAGGTGCAGAGTTTTTACCTCCATAATTCAGACTGGGACTGAAGTATGGGTGGAGTCTGTGAGTGAAGGAGCAGCCAGTAAAGGAGTAGATCAGAGCTGCAGCACCTACATCATAAAAGGAGACCAGACCCTCCTCATAATCCACAAACACCCCCACCTTCTCAGGACCAGGATGAAGACAGAGACGGACTGGAGGACCAGCATTAGCTTCGTACTCATTTCCATTTACCAGCACTACAGTCCAGAAACCATCCTGAGGTCTCGCTGTGATTCCTCCCTTCCTGTTGATCGACTCTGTGGCCACTCCTAAAATCCATTTAGTCTTTCCTTTAACCTGAACCTCAAAGTAAAATCTGCCTGAAGAGAAACTCTGCTCTCCTAAAACACAAACATAGTTAGAAAATCTCTCTGGGTTGTCTGGAAGTTTCTTCCTCACATCACCACAGTACACTTGTTTTCCATCATCAGACAGGATGAGTTTAGGATGAGCTGTATCAGGATCCAGAGTCACATCCA